CTAGGTTAGGACTTCCTGTCATTTAAACTGGAGATGATACACGATTTATTACCAATATCTGTGATACAGGTCACTAGATTAGGACTTCCTGTCATTTAAACTGGAGATGATACACGATTTATTACCAATATCTGTGATACAGGTTACTAGGTTAGGACTTCCTGTCATTTAAACTGGAGATGATACACGATTTATTACCAGTATCTGTGATACAGGTTACTAAGACAGGAAGTCCTAACCCTCCAGTTTAAATAGATATTGGTAATAAATCGTGTATCATGTGATACTGGTTACTAGGTTAGGACTTCCTGTCATTTAAACTGGAGATGATACACGATTTATTACCAATATCTGTGACACTGGTTACTAGGTTAGGACTTCCTGTCATTTAAACTGGAGATGATACACGATTTAGTACCAATATCTGTGTTTTGTTTATTTGAAATTAAGTACAAAGCTACACAATAGGCTATCTGTGCGCTGCCCACCACGGGTATCGAAGCCCGGATTCTAGCGTTGTAAGTCCGCAGACATACCGCTGTGCCACTGGAGGGCCCAATATCTGTGATACAGGTTACTAGATTAGGACTTCCTGTCATATCATAATTGTTCTTTTTTTAAATTAAAACAATCTATGCGGGAATAATGAATTGTTTGTTTGTTTTTTAAAGCATAAAGCTAAACAATGGGCTATAAGGTCTCTGCCCACCGCTGGTAATAAAACCCGATTTTTAGCTTTATAAGCCCAATGACTTGCCGCTGAGCCACTGGTATGGTTAAATAATCACAACTTATAGATTCCATTGTATTATGAATCTGAGGAAGATGTCGTTTATGAAGGCAATTATGTAGCAACTAAATCGCTAAAAGTTTGTTGTTAAGACGTGATATTTTTAACTGTTGGGTTCTTTTGCTAATTTTATAAGTGCTGCACTACATAAACTTATTAACTTAAATTTTCTGAAAATATTTCTTTATGAAAATACAAAATTAATTTATTAGTGTCCGCTGGAAAGAGCATAAGGGAGTATTTCCTGTGATAGTGTTTTATTTAAACATAAAGTGTACCAAACATCCGTCAGAACGTAAAGTGTACCAAACATCCGTCAGAACGTAAAGTGTACCAAACATCACTCAGACCATAAAGTGTACCAAACATCCGTCAGAACGTAAAGTGTACCAAACATCACTCAGAACATAAAGTGTACCAAACATCCGTCAGAACGTAAAGTGTACCAAACATCCATCAGAACGTAAAGTGTACCAACCATCCATCAGAACATAAAGTGTACCAAACATCCATCAGAACATAAAGTGTACCAAACATCCGTCAGAACGTAAAGTGTACCAAACATTAATCAGAACATAAACCGTTAGCCAGAAGTGGGAGCAACCACACAGACCCAGACTTCAGATGTGTGTCCGTAGTTCAAAAGGCAGATTCATTGAATACTAAAAGTAATCTTTATTTCATGTTTGTTTATCTAAGAAAACGACATTCCTTATGGACTGGGCGTGCTTTATGGACTGCTGGTAGGCTGTGTATATATTTTAAAGTTATTGTAATAGAAGAGAAATAATTCTGTATTGTAAGAAACGGTTTGAACAAAAAAAAGGTGTTTGAAAAGGAATTCAAGAAGTATCAGTAGAAGACCAAGAGATCTGAGAACCAGAGTATCTTCTTCCCGAAGTATCGTCTTCTTTCTTTAATGATATGAGAGGTAGAACTGGATGTTCTTTTGCTGGATTATCGTTATATATTTTAACGTTGAGTGTTATTTATTTATTATTCTATGACATCTGATGCTTCTGTTTAGATTTTTTACTATTGTTGTATTAAGTGGAGCAACTATTTTGGAAAACTGAATATATTTAACAGATCTGTGACCACTATCTCGCCTGAACAAAAGGGATTAGAGTGGGGGTAGGTGGAGAAAAGGGTGTATTTAATACATATATTATACCCTGAATATATATTTTTGCAGAAGTTACAGAATATGGCGTCGTGGTGAAAGATTGCTAACCATCTTAGGTGTCTAGAAATGAATCTGATTTAGTAAGTTCTTCGCCAGATCTTATCTTTTACTCGATTCAGATTATTTTCCTACATCAAAAAACAGTGCCACCCTTAACACAAGCACTTAATTCGACACTTCTCATAAATTAAAAGTGGAAATAACAAGGATTCTAAACCTTACAAGATCTTATCTTTTACTCGATGCAGATTATTTTACTACATCAAAGAACAGTGCCACCCTTAACACAAGTACTTAAGTCAACACTTCTCATAAATTAAAAGTGGGAATAACAAGGATTCTAAACCTTACAAGATGCTTGGCGTGGCTTAAGATTTCCATCAAAATGTCGTTCTTATCAACATGTTTGGTGCACACGAGATTTGATTGGTTAAATATCTGATTGCTGCACACGAGATACAATTGATTAAATATCTTATCGGTGTGCACAAGATACAGTTGGTTAGATATCTAATTGGTGCACACGAGATACAGCTGGTTAGATATCTAATTAGTGCACACGAAATACAGCTGGTTAAATATCTAATTGGTGCACACAAGATACAGTTGGTTAAATATCTAATTGGTGCACACGAGATACAGCTGGTTAGATATATAATTGGTGCACACGAGATACAGTTGGTTAGACATCTAATTGGTGCACATGAGATACAGTTGGTTAGATATCTAATTGGTGCACACGAGATACAGCTGGTTAAATATCTAATTGGTGCACACGAGATACGGTTGGTTGGACATCTAATTGGTGCACACGAGATACAGTTGGTTAGATATCTAATTAGTGCACACGAGATACAGCTGGTTAAATATCTAATTGGTGCACACGAGATACAGTTGGTTAAATATCTGCCCACCTGGGGTGAACGATTCCCTTCTTCGTATTAATTTATAACATGTAAACCTATTACATTATCATATATGACTAGATGTAAAAACAACAACAGTGGTGTTTTCTACACCACTATGTACTTTTGGAGTTCCAACTCAATTTTTCTTTTGGTTTAGAAATTGTCACTTATTATCTTAATATAAATATGTTATTATATTTATATTATTACAACTCTGTATTTTCTCACCTTATTTTCATTAATAAACCACTGTAGCTGGATAGGTGAGTTGAAATTTGCAGCAGTGCAGTTAATGTCCACTGTATCGTCAACTTTGTATGACGATTGGCCTCCTGTGATCATTGGTCCTCCTGTAGTGGATGCTAACATCAGCACAAAATGACATAACATTACAAAATGTTTAGGGACAACGAGGGACCTACTGGTCCATCTAGGCTATCCCATCCTGTAAACTAAACTAAAACTAATAAATAAAAAATATACAACAACCTCAAAGCTAGCCCTTATCGTTAAAATCACTTTAATTTACTGTCTCCACAACATCCAAAGGCCAACTACCCTCTTAGAAGAATGAAACTGTCTTAGGTTCAGATGACTCCTATCTCGCCAAAATTTATATTTATGTCCCCTAGTCCTATCATTCTCATCGTTAAGTATGAAAAAAGATGATGTATCAAAACTATCATTTCCCTTTACAATCTTAAACACCTCAATCAGATCCCCTCTAACTTCAGAGATCTTAACTTCTTCTCATATGACAACCCTTCCATCCAAGGCACCATTATAGTATCCTCCCTCTGAACTCTTTTCTACAATTCAATGTCCTTACTAAGGTAAGGAGCCCAAGACTGAATGCAATACTCCAAATGTGGCCTAACCAATGAAATTATAACCTCTTTAAACTTGTATTCAATATTTCTGTAGATACAACCTAAAATCTTACTTGCCCTACCACTATCAACAACACATTGCTTGGATGGTTCAAGAGATTGATCAACTATTAAGGTTACTTTCATCCAAATTATACTTATAATTCAAATTATGATAGCCCACGTGCATTATCTTGCATTTATTATAATTAAAACGTATCTACCATTTATTCGCCCAATTCCCGAATTATCAAAATCCTTTTATAAACCAGTAGCATCCTCCTCACAGCCAGCAACACCCAAGACCTTAATATCATCAGCAAATCTAAGTAATTTATTGGCCATTCCTTCATCTATTATCATTGATGTAAATCAAAAACAGCAAAGGTCCTAAGACTGAGACCCGGGGTTCCTCACGCACAAATACTAGTTAGTAATTCTCAAAGAGAGAACAGACACAAAACTTGAACGGCATTTTTGTGACATTCCCCCCAGTGGCTCAGCGCAGGAGCTTACGACGCTAAAACTCTAGTTTTGATACCCCTGATTGACAGAGAACAGACATCCTATGGTGTAGTTTTGGGGTATCAGCAAAACAAAAACAATTCATGCAACTAATGGAAGAACTTTATTTTTGTTATGCACAAAGCTGCACAGTGAGCTATCGGTGCTGTGCTAATTATGAGTATCGAAACCCTGTTGTTAGCGTTATAAGCCTTCAGACGTACCACCGAGCCAATGGGAGCCTTTACTTTTTTGTAGTTTTATAGATTAATTAATTTTTTTTCTTCCACGAAACAAAAATAATACAAACGTTTCAACTGAATTTCAGAATATATTCCTGAAGTTGTACAAAAAAAGCTAGATTTAAGAGTGTCTCAAAACATATAACTCATAAGATGTAACATTACACACAATATTTTTGGTTACATTTTTTACACTTCTCTATGCGTCGTATAAATTTCGTTTTGTTGGTTATAAATAACTTGTGTGAAATTTTCAGATTGACGAAACTGTTACGAAAAGCCAAATCCCCTTCCCGGTGGCTCAGCGGTAAATCTCATTGCTTACAACACTAAAATTCGGGTTTCGAAACCCGCGGTGGCCAGAGCACAGAAGTCCATTTTCTAGTTTTGTGCTTGATGACAAACAAACAAATGTAACAAAATGCAAGACATTCCCCAAGTGGCTAAAACGTGACAATTTAAGTGATAATCATAGACTTGTGAAAATCGGGACAGAGCAAATAAATACATGTATAAAATATATAAAAAACACTCGAGTTAATTAACCCAGTGGATTTCTTTATTCTTAAGCACAAAGCTACAGAATGGGCTATGTGTGCTCTGTCCACAGCAGATATCGAAACCTGGAATTTAGCGTTATAAGCCATAAGGCTGACCTGAAACGTAGACTAAAAGGTAAAATCAAATTATTACCAAGGTATAGGACAAACGAAATGTTCATGTAGGCTTAACGGTAAGTGGAAATATATCATAGATGGACGAAACGGTAAATCAATATATGTATGTGTGGGGAGTGGGGGGGGGGTGCAAACGATTAGAAAATTTGTTTTTTACCTGGGCTATATAATCATTTAAAGTGTTTTATCTTGGTACGGAATAAGAAGAAATTCAAAATATTTACATGACTATGTACTAGACAACAACAACAAACTATTTACATGACTATGTACTAGACAACAACAACAAACTATTTACATGACTATGTACTAGACAACAATATTACTCTAGATATTTACATGAATATGGACTAGACAACAATATTACTCTAGATATTTACATGAATATGGACTAGACAACAATATTACTCTAGATATTTACATGAATGTAGACTAGACAACAATATTACTCTACATATTTACATGAATTTGGACTAGACAACAATATTACTCTAAATGTTGACTTGGATATAGACTAGACAACAATATTATTCTAAATATTGACTTGGATATAAACTAGACAACAATATTATTTTAAATGTTGACTTGAATATAGACTAAACAACAATATTATTCTAAATGTTGACTTGAATGTAGACTAGACAACAATATCACTCTAGATATTGACTTGGATATAAACTTGACAACAATATTATTCTAAATGTTGACTTGGATATAAACTTGACAACAATATTATTCTAAATATTTACATGAATGTAGACTAGACAACAATATTATTCTAAATGTTGACTTGGATATAGACTAGACAACAATATTATTCTAAATATTGACTTGGATATAGACCAGACAACAATATTATTTTAAATGTTGACTTGAATATAG